CAGCAACTCATATTCCGCTTGGGAACCCTGCAGCCCAATGGTATCAACGTGGATTTCACAAGTTTCAAAATCTCCCCTCCCCTCCCCCTACCGCATCCCAAAACCAGTCCAGCTCGTCCACAGAGAGTGGTGGAATGCGCTGCCAGCGGTGGTAGTGGAGTCAGATACATTAGGGACATTTAAGCGACTCTTGGATGGGCACATGGATGGTAGTAAAATGTAGGGTATGCAGGGTAGTTTGATCTTAGAGTAGGATAACAGGTCGGCACAACACCGTGGGCTGAAGGGCCTGTACTGTGCTGTACTGTTCTATGTTCTAAAATGTGCTCTCAGTGGGGAAAAAGCATGCGAGTCACTCCTTTACAGCAAAGAGAATTGTGTATGAAAGTAAAGGAGTCTTGCTGCAACTGGATAGGACATTGGTGAATGCACACCTGCAGTACACTGTGCAGGTTTGGTCTTGATTTTAATTACCTTAAAGACAGTTCAGAAAAGGTTCACTTTTCAAGAATTCCCAGGAAGAAGGGGTTCTCTTATGCGGAAACCTATGCATTTTGAGCCTGTGCTCATTGGAATTTATAAGAATGAGAGGTGGAACTTTTTGAAACACATCAAACGCTGAGATAATGTTTACCCTGATGGGGGAATCTGGAATGAGGTGGATAGTTTCAGAATAAGAAGTCTTCCTTGTTCAGATAGAGGTGAGAGGAATTTCCTCTCTCAGAGGGTATTTAATCTTTGGAATTCTCATCCCCAGAAAACAATGGAGGTGGATTTAACAATTTGTTGGTGTTGAATGGCAGGTAGGAAAATGGAGTTAAGGCCATAATCAGACCAGTCATAATCTTCTTGAAGGGCAGAGTAGGTTCAAGTTGCTGAACGTTTGTGCTTATGAATAATAGGATATGTTGATAGGATGAGATGAAGTGGGGAGGTGATGGCTGAGTGATATTATCACTGACTGTTAATCCAGACACCTAGATAATGTTCTGGGGAGCCAGGTTTGAATCCCGCCATGACAGATGGTGGAATTTGAATTTAATAAATATCTGGAATTAAGAATCTAATGATGATCATGAATCCATTGTTGGGGAAAAACCCATCTGGTTCACTAATGCCCTTTAGGGAAGGAAACTGCCATCCTTACCTGTCTGGTCCATATGTGAGTCCAAACCCACAGCAATGTGGTTGACTCTTAACTGCCCTCTGGGCAATTAGGAATGGGCAATAAATGCTGCCTCATCAGTGATGCCCTCATCCCGTGAATGAATAAAGGAACTTGAATCAATCGGACTGAATCCTTTGGTTCTGTAACTTTTATGTAATTATTAACCACGACAAAGAACTTGTACTGCATAAAAAGACCCTTCAACCCAACAGTTGCATGCTGCTGTCTATGCTCTTCCAAACTTCTTCATCTAATTCACTCAACATCTCCTTGAATTTTTTTTCTCCCTTAAATGGTTACCGAGATTCCCATTAAATGCATCCAGGTTATACACGGCATCCACTCCTTGCAGTGAGTTTCATATTCTAGCCACTCCCTGGGTAAAAAGGTTTCTCCAAGGATCTTAGCAAGCAAGCTGAGGCTACTTAGCCACTTTAATGTCAATCTATTAGTCTCCCCGGTAAATACTGGCAAAATAACTACTTCATATTTCTGCCACTTCACAATGTTGAATTGCAACTTTGTCATATGTATCATTTAGTGATCTTATCCCTTTCCTGATGCCTCGTTTGTCAGTTACGGGTCTGAAAAATACTTTAATTTTTCTATCTTTTTAGATCTTTATAATTTAATTTTGTAGTTTTCCTTTCCTTCACAATGTATGTTTATCCCATTCTAACCCTCCTGAATTCCTTATTGGCATTCTCCCCTTTGTTGCCTATGTATTTTGTGAATAACTTTTTTTTTCATTTCAATGTTGCCCTTATTTAGAGTTATAGAGTTATACGGGTCTACAGCATGGAAACAGGGCCTTCAGCCAAATTTGCCCATGCTGCCTAGTTTTCACCAGTAGTTCCATTCACCTGCTTTTGGTCCATATCCCTCCATCCCTATCCCATCCATATACCCGTCCAAATGTTTCTTAAATGACAAAATTGTACTCACCTCCACCACTATCTCTGGTAACCCGATCCAGATACTCACCACCCTCTGTGTGAAAAAATTGCCCCTCTGGACCCTTTTGTATCTCTCTTCTCTCACCTTAAACCTATGCTGTCTAGTTTTAGTCTCCCCTACCATGGGGAAAACCTATTGGCTATCTGCCTTGTCTATGCCTCTCATGATTCTATGAGGTCACCCCTCAATCTCCTATGCTCTAGAGAATAATGTCCCAGCCTATCCAACCTCTCCTTATAATTCAAACATTCCAGTCCAGGTAGTATCCTAGTAATTTTTTTTTGCACTCTTTTTAATTTAAAAATATCCTTTCAAAATTAGGGCAACCAGAGCTGCATGCTGTACTCCAAATGTGGCTTCACCAACGTCTTGTACAGTTGCAGCATTAGTTCTTCATTCATGCATAGTTTGTCCTTCTCAAATCTTAAACTTGTTACATAATGAGAGAACAGAGCTTAAAGTAATTTTTAAAAATGCATTATGTTGCCAAGGACCAGATCACAGCCTTGACTGTTCTCCAGGCTGAGCATCATATGTTCGTAACTCTCTTCTAAATCGCTTTTCATCTATTTTATTCTCCTGACACTGTTATTCAAACAGCAGCAAGATTCACAGAGGGGGAGCAGGCCAGGCTGCTCTGCATTACATGTTGTGACTACAGCCGTTACACTAATTAGTGCCTGCATTGAAGGATTGACAGTCACAATACAATCACCACAAGGTCAGGCTGATTCTGTGCAAGCAGCAACTAACAGACAAATAACATAGCAAACCATACAGTAAAATCTCCGAACAATCAACGCATAAAATCTTCTAACAATGTGCAGCTTATATTCTCCTAATAATCCCCACACGGTAAATTCTCCTAATGCAGAAAATGCCCCACACTGTTAAAAAGGAAAGGGCTCATGTCCACTGAACCAGACAAATGTTACAGTATGAAAGGAATCTGTTAGGTCTGTATTGGTTTCTCAACTGCCACTCACCCCACTTCCTCCCTTAGCCTTGTAACTTCTTCCTTTTCCAATAATAATCCAGTTCTCTCTGGGATGCCTCAATCAAACCTGCCTCCATTGCACTCCCGGGCAGAACATTCCAGATCCTAACCATTTGGTTTGCAATAAAGTTATTTCTCCTATCTCGCTTGCTTCTTTTGTCAATTACCTTAAATCTGTACGCTGTTTTCCTCACTGTATCACGTTAAGGTATCATTTTCTTTTCATCACCAGTGGGACGTGGACATCGTTGGCTGGGCCCAGCATTTATTGTCCTTCCCTAGTTGCCCCTTGAGAAGGTGGGGGTGAGCTGCCATCTTGAACCGCTGCAGTCCATGTGCTATAGGTAGACCCACAATGCCCTTAGGGAGGGAATTCTGACCCAGCGACACTGAAGGAATGGGGATATATTTCCAAGTCAGGATGGTGAGTGACTTGGAGGGGAACTTGCAGGTGGTGGTGTTCCCATATATCTGCTGCCCTTGTTCTTCTAGATGGAAGTGGTCGTGGGTTTGGAAGGTGCTGTCTAAGGGTTTTTGGTGAATTTCTGCAGTGCATCTTGTAGATAGTACACACTGCTGCGACTGAGCGTCAGTGGTGGAGGGCGTGGGTATTTGTGGATGTGGTGCCAATCAAGTGGGGGCTGCTTTGTCCTGGATGGTGTCAAGCTTCTTGAGTGTTGTTGGGGCTGCACTCATCCAGGCAAGTGGGGAGTATTCCATCACACTCCTGACTTGTGACAATCTCATATAAGCCCATACAGTTTGAACAGGTCTAGACAGGGTAAACACAGAATGTTCTCAATGACCAGGAAGCCCAGAACCTATAGTTACAGTTTATGGAGTGAGACAAGGAGAAATTGTTCACCCAGAGAGTGGGGAGCCTGTAGAATTTGCTGCCACAGAAAGCGGTTGAGGCCAAAACATTGAATGTTTTCACGAAGGAGTTAGACATAGTTCTTTGGACAAAAGGGATCAAATGATATGGGCACAGGGGACTGAGTTGGTTGAGCAGGCATGATTATATCATAGAATCCCTACAGTGTGGAAACAGGTCCTTCAGCCCAACAAGTCCACACCAAACCTCAGAGCATCCCACACAGACCCATCCCCCTATAACCCACCTAATCTACACCTCCTTCAACACTATGGGCAATTTCACATGGCCAATCCACCTAACCTGCACATCGTTGGACTATGGGAGGCAACTGGAGCACCCGGAGGAAACCCACACGGGTACGGGGAGAATGTGCAAACTCCATACAAACAGTCGCCCAAGGCTGGAATCGAACCCAGTTCCCTGGTGCTGTGAGGCAGCAGTGCTAACTGCTGTGCCACCATGCTGCCCATATTGAATAGTGGAGGAGATTCGAAGGGCTGAATGGCCTACTCCCGTTCCAATCTTCCATGCTTCTGTGTTTTTTTACAAGTTAATCCTTTCCCAATCTAGGTATCAGTTGAGTGAACCTTCAATTCTAAACAGAAGAACTAAGTTCAAGCCTTGGGGTGCTTGTGGTTTCCGGTAGCTTTTCTCATGATAATGCCTTGGTCAATCTGCATTGACTTGTCAACCAATCAGCACCCTTTTCTGCTGTTGTTATGATAGGGTTAAAATGTGGCATTCTTGCACTTGTCCTGATGAGAGTCAGATGAAAAGTTTTGGCATTATGTCTCTTTTACCAACAATATTACATCCTGTACTACAGGGGACAGACAGTCTGCAACAGAATGAGTGAGAATTTATTTCCCCAATTTCCCCACTGCAGAAAATTAAATCACAAACTATTATTTGCTTTGCAGGTTTTAAACCAGACATCGAGAATTGAAATTCAGCTGTTGGAAAACTCCCTTTCCACCAACAAACTGGAGAAACAGCTGATGCTGCAAACCACTGAGATCAATAAAATTCAGGAGTGGAACCGGTAAGGTCTTCCCTTCCAATTCCCAAACTGCTTCTCAGTCACGCTATGTCCCCATTGCAAGACCGGCCCTTTGTTACACTGGGAAATTCAGGGTTGATGAGCTGTGCTCGAGATGAGAATGTGAAGACCCATTAAAGCAATGTCTTTGAAAGACAGATCAAAGGCTCCTTTACGCTGAATGTCACTGAAGGACATTACCAGTGAGGCAATCCATTCAGCCTGTAGCTCACAAGCTAACCATTCAATCAAAATATCCCTTAAACAATCCCAGGAGTTTGTCTCCAGTCTCAGATCTAGAGAGAAGGGGCTTGCATTTCTCGAGCACCTTTCACAGAATCACAAATCACGGCATGATTACAGCACAGAAGGAGGCCATTCGACATGTTGTATCTATAATGGCTTTCCAAAGGAGCTATTCACCCCAGTTCTACTCCCACTCCTTTGTTTTCTCCCCATAGCCCTGCGTACTTTTCCACTTTTTAGATAAGGATCCAGTTTCTACTATGAAAGCCTCAGTTGTCCTGGCCTCCAGCACCCTCTCAGGTAGTGCACTCCACATCCTGAACACTCACTGTGTGAAAAGGTTTCTCTTCATTGTCATCATTACTACTTTTGTCAATTGCCTTAAATCTGTTACTTCGATCAATGGGAACAGTTTCTCCCTAATCGCTCTATTCAGGTCACTGATAATTTTGAAAACTTCTATTAAATTTTGTCTCAACATTCCCTTCTCTGAGGTGAACAGTCCTTTTTTCTCCAATCTGTTGACGCAACTGAGATTCCTCATCCCTGTTAGATCAGATCAGATTAGATCAGATCAGATTAGATCAGATTAGATCAGATTAGATCAGACTGGATCAGATTAGATTAGATTGTCACATGTACCCAAAAAATGAAAAGTGTACAGAGTTGCCACTATCTGGTGCCATCTTAGAATACAATAGTTAGAATTAAAAACAAGAGCTGAAATTAAAGAATCAGAAATGAAAAGAAAATATCCAGAACATGAGATGTACTTGTAAGAGGGCAGACCTTAAACTGCTTGATAGGATGTGATGTAGCAACCCTGTGACTAGTTGAGCAGTTTTATAGAAATTAAATGGACCATATGGATGTCCCAGTGAGTGTTATCTGGTACTGTCTTATCTTCACATAAAGAACCCACCTTATTATTTCATCAATCCTGAGCTTTAGTTGGTATGTTTACCTCTAAGAGAAGAGCATCACAATCTCTAGAACTATTTTTGTGACCACAACATCCCAAAGAGGTTTCCAGCCAATGAGGTTGAAGGTGAGAGGGGAAAGGATATGAGGGGCAACTTTTTCACAAAAAGGGTGGAATGACCTGTCAGAAAAAGTGGTGGAGGCTGGTACAATTATAACAATTAAAAGGCATCTGGATGGGTATATAAGAGGGATATGAGCCAAACGCTGACAAATGGGACTAGGCCAGATTGGGATGTCTGGTTGGCACAGATGAGTTGGAGTGAAGGGTCTGTTTCCATGCTGTATGACTCTATAAATATTGGTGATTATTAATGGTGAGTGGTGCTGACAAGTCCAGCATTTATTGCTCCTCCCTAAATGCCCTGGAGAAGGCGGTGGTAAGCCCCTTTCCTGAACTGGTGCAGCCCATGGCATGCAGGTACATCCACAGTACTGTGGGCTGCCAATTCCAGGATTTTGACCCAGCAACGAGGAAGGAAGTGCGATTATAGTTCTGAGTCAGGACGTGTCTGCTGCCTGTGTCCCTCCAGTGTAGCCAGTGTCGTAAAGTAGATATCAGTCTTAGGCACAGGATCACGACCACTGGAGCCCTGCAATTTATCCTTCAATTCCTAAAGTCTACACGACAATCCTGGAAGGTTGTCAGCCTAACACACATGACATTGTTAACATTACCTGGGAAACTAGTCCATTCATGGAGGATAACTGGAGCTCATGTTGCTAGTGAGATTTCCTGCTTAGACTACAATGTTCAGAGATAGGCTTTCAGATATTAGCACAGCTTTAAAACTAAACCCACCCTGCCCCCGGCTCCCAGTGACGAGGTGATCGTTCATGCCTGTATTATTTTGTTACAACGTCCTGTAAATCATTCATCGGTCAGGGAGTGAAAGTATCATTCAGGGCTCACTGAACAAAAATAACCATTAGTTAAACAAACACAAACAAAGTCAAACATAGTGCAAAGGGCCAGACCATGTTAGCAAGCTCTAGGACCAAAACATTGAGACAGTTCTCGTCTCTACATGTTGAGGGAAGAAAGCTTGCTGTGTGGTAAATGATTTGAAGCTGCAGAGTTCTCGAGCATAACAGATAAACCGGGATTATTTTGCCTTGTTCAAGGTAGTCCCTCAAATATTTCTCAAGAAATTGCTCAAAATTTCTCACCTTTACCAGAGTCACAGGCTGGATTTCCAGCTTTTACACAGCAAGCTCCCACAAACAAGATTCAAAAACAGAAATTGCTGGGAAATCTCAGCAGATCTGGCAACATCTGTGGAGAGAAATCAGAGTTAACATATCAGATCAAGTTTCAACGTTAACTCTGATTTCTTTCCACAGATGCTGCCAGGCCTCCTGAGCTTTACCAGCCATTTCTATTTCTGTTTCTGATTTACAGCATCCGCAGTTCTTTCGGTTTATATTTAGTAGTCACAAACCAGATTATTTGGTTTTATAATCCTGCCGGCCTGGGTGCAGTACAGAAAGATCCAGCTCTGGTTTGACTCTAATTTAGTGAAATGCGATTCATGTTTGAAGGAAGAAGAGAAAAAAAACAGAACGTTTGTGTTTAAAATAGTGGGAAATTATTGGAAATTATTGTCCAGGGGGTTACAGTGATTTTATACACAAATATCAGAAAGTTAACATGATGGTAGAACCAACAAATCAGAGGACAAATTGGTTCATATGTGGAATGAACTGTCAGAGGAAGTGGTAGAAGCAGATAAAGTTACAACATTTAAAATACATTTGGAGTGGTATATGAATAGGAAAGGTTTAGAGTCATAGAGTCATAGAGATGTACAGCAAGGAAACAGACCCTTCAGTCCAACATGTCCATGCCGACCAGATATCCTAAATTAATCTAATCCCATTTGCCAGCATTTGGCTCATATCCCTCTAAACCCTTCCTATTCATATACCCATCCTTTTAAATGTTGGAATTGTACCAGCCTCCACCACATCCTCTCGTCAGTTCATTCCATACACACACCACCCTCTGCGTGAAAAGGTTGCCCCTTAAGTCCCTTTTAAAGCTTTCTCCTCTCACCTTAAACTTATGTCCTCTAGTTTTGAACTCCCCTACCCTGGGGAAAAGACCTTGAGTGTTCACCCTATCCATGCCCCGCATGATTTTAGAAACTTTTATAAGGTCACCCTTCAGCCTCCGACACGCCACGGAAAATAGCCCCAGCCCATTCAACCTCTCCCTTTAGCTCAAACCATCCAACTCTGGCAACATCCTTGTAAATCTTTTCTGAACCCTTTCAAGTTTAGCATCACCTTTCATATAGAGCAGCAACATGACTTCCAAACTCCTACACTTAGTGCATTAACCATTAAAGACAAGAATACCAAATGTCTTCTTCACTAACCTGTCTACCTGTGACTCCACTTTCAAGGAATTATGAACTAGAGGATATGGGCCAAATGCAGGCAAATGAGACAAGTTTAGTTTGGGAAACTTTGTCTGCATGGACAAGTTGGACCGAAGGGTCTGTTTCGATGCCATTTACAAATAATGACAAATAATGACTCTGTGACTCAATGGCTTGGTCTTCTCATTGCCATCTGAGAAGGCAGACATGACCTTGATTTAACAATGCCATCACTGGCAGTGTAGCACTCTCTCAGTGCTGCACCAAGAGCATCATCTTGCGTTTAAGCCTCTAGAAATAAACCTAAACCTACAACCTCTGGCCTCAGAGGAGAGAGTACTCCCACTGTTCCACAGTGCAAACAGTTGCCTGACTGAAGTTTCACAGGAACCAAGTTGAGAACAAAGATAATTCAAAGGAGTGAAAACTGATCAGCTATGTGTGTCGGAGCAGGTTTGAGGGATTGAATGGCTTTTTCCTGATCTTACGGTCATCAGGGTAGGGATTTCATGGGATACAAAGGAAGGGTAATGATAGATTAGGGTAACATGGTGGCTTAATGGTTAGCACTGCTGCCTCACAGTGCTAGGAACCTGGGTTCGATTCCAGCCTGGGGCAATTGTCTGTGTAGCATTTACACATTCACCCTGCGTCTATGTGGGTTTTCTCTGGGTGCTCTGGTTTCTCCCACAGTCCAAAAATATACAGGTTAGGTGGATCAGCCATGCTAAATTGCCCATAGTGTTCAGGGATGTGCAGATTTACATGGGTTAGCCTTGGGAAACGCAGGTTTACATGGATAGGGTGGGGGGAGGGTTTGGAAAGGGATGTTCCTCTTCGGAGGATCAGTGTGGCATTGATGGGCTGAATGGCCTGCTTCCATACCATGGGGATTCTACAGATAACAAAATAATTTCTGACTGTAACCTCAGTTGAAGTCTGAAAGAATCACTGAAAACAATTCCACAGTGTCCATAAAAAGTACTGCAGATGCTGTAAATCAGGAACAAAAACAGAAGTTGTTGGAAAAGCTCAGCAGGTCTGGCAGCATCTGTGAAGAAAAAAAATCAGAGTTAACATTTCATGTCCGGCGACCCTTCCTCGGAACAGTTCTGAGGAAGGGTGATCTGATATTTTTCTTCATAAGATGCTGCCAGACCTGCTGAGCTTTTCCAGCAACTTCTGTTTTTGTTCCACAATGTCCATGTCCAGCTGGAAGGGATGGGACAATCAGGAATGAGCAAGTGAATGATGGAAACAGGAGCTGAGAGTCAATGGAGTATGTTTTTCCAGGGATTTTCCTGCCATCAATCCTTGATCTGAACCCAAATTGATTCTTGCATCCAGGCAGTCTCCCACTGTATCTGATACAAACAGGATACATAGAAACAT